TATATATATATATATATATATATATATATATATATATATATATATATTATTGATCAATGTTTATATTTGAAGGCCAATAAAAATAATATTTATATTTGAAGGTCTTTGCTTACTAATAATAATATTGCTTTATTGCATAAGACTAATATATTTCTTATCAAAAATTTTAAAATGATTGATATGAATGAAATAGCTTATATTATTAACATTAATATATTTAAATATAGATCTAAAAGATTGTCAATATTATCCGAAAATCGATATATTGATTGAATCTTGGAGAGATTTAGTATACAACTTTGTTCAGCTAATAATACATATATTACCAAGTAATATGTGAAAATTTTATTCAAAACAAATGTTCTAAAAATAATCTAAAAAAGAATCAAATAAAATATATTTCTTATTAATGTATAGTTGAAAGTTAATTATATGCTTATATCTATACCACTGCATATATTAGTTTTGTCATAAGGAATACTAAGTAAATATAAAGTTATCCATAAATTGACTATTGGATTATTATAAATAAAATAATAAGATATATGTAAAAGACAAATGATTATATGCCCCCGATCAAATCAATTTGAAATGATATAATTTTCATATGTTGATTCGCAAATTGCTTCAATAATGAGAAGTCTACAGATTTATCTTTATATTAGCTACTGGGTAAATTTTCAAGAATTATATAATGTAAATTATATTATCAAAAATATATGTTAATTTTATGATATGCTTCAAGGTCACTAATTAAGCTTTATGGTAATAAAATTTGAGTAATCCATATAAAATATTACGATGCATATTTAAGTTGGTATCATAATTGATTTTTTGTTTACATAATTAAAATTATTTATTTTTATTATCATATATATAATGATTAAATATAATAATAAAATTTTCTTAACCAAACAAATTACATAAGTCGTTATGAACTATACTGAAAATAATAATAATGTCATGATATATAAAAGAAAACATAATATTAATGACAAACAACCTCTATGACTCATACTGATAGTCGAAATTAATATATTATTATTATATTTATTAGACTTATTGACTTGTTTATAAGATTCATGGTCACATAAAATACTTTTTAAAAATTTTAAAATATATTTAAAAATGTATTTTTAAATAATTTTTTATTTTATTTACTATGATTTTATATTTATTTATATCTTATTAATTAATAGACTAAGTGGAAGAATATTATATTATGTAATCATATTTGATTGAATAAGGTATATTAATCTTGATTGGATTCTTTTTATTGGGGATAACTGAGAAAAACTTTCATAATTACTTATTATAATTTTTCTATTCTTACTTATAAATAAATAGAGTATCCTAATGATTATATACAAAAGAGATACTAAATTATGTACATCAGAAAAAAAAAAAAAAAAAAAGCTCTATTTATTCTCTATTACTTACCGTCTTCTTCGGATCCGACAATCATAAATTATGTACATTAAAAAAAATATTCTGAATCATATCGAAATATATACATCTTAAATTTGATCTATTATTACTTAATTTTAAATTTTTATATTATAATTTTTATATAACAATAATATGATTATAATTTTTATAACAATCATTGTCTTAAAAAATATGTTTGATGAGAATTTTTGAAGAAGAAAAGAATTCCTTTGATCCAACTCTTGTTCTTCTTGAAAACAAGATCATATTATCACAGGATACTGATTACACTTTGGAAGCATGCATGAACTCTTCCTGTTTGATTTGTTCTATTCCTGACAAGCTTCTTCAGCTGAGGAAGCTGATCCTTTGGTGAGGCTTGCACTGTGATCCCATGAACAGATAAAGAAAACAATCATTGCTCAAAGGAATGGTTCTCTGTATCATATTGGATATGTAAACTCTGCTTGCTTGAACAGATCTGACCAGCTTCTGACTGCAAGTTCTTGAATATTAACTGGTCTAAACATTCTCTTTTTGTTCATGCTCTTTAACCAAAAAATAAATTAAATTGAATTGAAACCTGTGGTATTTTTATTGTCCAATTTAAATGTGATAACCATAAGTATCGAACTATTAGGAAATGATTGGAATAAAAGTGTGCTCCTACTAGAAGGGTTTTAGAGATGGAAGTATCTTTCTATTTTCTTGAAGCTAGAAAGATGGAAATTTTCAGAATCGAATTAAGTTCCTCTCCCAGACAGGAATGAAAGATCAAAATAAAGGCAAATTCTTGCATATCTTCCTCCAATTTCCCAAGTGACCAGAAATCTTGACTTCCTATAACAAATCCAGAATGTCCTGAGATAAGAGAAAGAGAGAGAGACTTACTTGAAATGTTCAACTTTGGCAAAAAGGAATATAGAATAAAGCAGGCATTTGCTTGTCTGAAATCATTCCTTCAGCAACTCTCTGGTGGCAAAATCAATATTACACAGTGCCATCATCACAAGGAAGACTAGTTGGGAGAGATGCCACTCTATGCATCAAGTTCTTCTTCTTCCTCCAGTCACTTCCCACCAGTGAAACCATGTCTTCACATCCACTTCCCTCGATGATGTGGACTTGACATCCATTGGTGTATAACTTACACAAGAATCCATGTGATCAAGAATTAAAATTGAGGAAAGATAAGAAGTCCAATTAAGTCCTATTCTGCTACTCAAATAATAATTTTCTTTTGGGTCAATTATGGAATGACTAATTACTTAGAACCTGATGAAGGTTCAAATGAACAACTCAAGCAAGAATCAGGGCAGTATACTCTTTAAACAAAATATATATTTTTTGATTTATGGATTACTTACTAATTAAAATTTGACTCGGTTATCATAATCGATTGACCTCTTGATTGTCATGCTAGTTTAATTATTAATATTTTTAAGTTACCAAATACTCAATTAAAGTAATAGTATAATTTAACAATTAAGAATTGGATTATACTTAACACATTAAACTCAAATCTTTTATTTTTCTATATTAATGTGGTGAGTGAGTAAACCCGAGATTATACTAATAAGCACATCTAAAATGGATTTAATTTTTAATCATAAATGTAATATTTCAATTAATTTCATTTCAACAAATAGCAAAAGGTGATCATACTATTATAATACCAAGAGAGACATGCATGCAGATATGATATGTGGTCTGCATACGTACGCATGGATATATACATGCCTGCATCCCTATTTACGTGCATACTAATCCAAGAAGATAACAGTACGTGAGTTCATTCACATCACAGTGCATGCGTTCGGGTTCTCATCGCTGAAGAGCGACGAGATCTTCTCCTCCGGCGCACTGGGGCTCGCCACCGCCTGCGCCACGTTCCGAACGAAGCCGGCTGGGGCCTTCTTGTCGTAGGCGCCGGCGACGTAAGGATACGCGACCAAGCTGTAGGGGACGTAAGGCCAAGCCTCCGCCCTCTTTCCGGTGCTCTTTATCTTCCTCACCACTTCCTTTGCCTCGATGTGGCCGGTGACCGTCACCCTGCTCTGCTTTCGGTTCACGTTCACGTTCGTCACACCTGACCACCAGTTTCGATGATGTATGTCAGTGCTCCTACCAGAAACAGCGATCCATATACATCCGATTGAATGGAGTTCACTCTCTTCTGTGCAAGCTTTTAGCATGATCTAAAGATGAGTGCAGGATCCAAGGACAAATCTCCAACTGACGATCCAAGAAACGATAGGAAATCAAGTGAGGTGTGTCGATTGTACCTCTGATTGAGCTCACAGCGTGCTTTACTCTCCTTTCACAGCCATCACAGTCCATCTTCACCTTCAGATCAACAGTCTGATGATTGACCCAACACAGGCCAAGAAAACAAAGAAGCTGATGGTGAGAACAAGTCGGAGTACACTGAAAAAGTAGCGAAAGAGAAGAGCTTATTCTATCCTCTTCTTCTCCTGAGGCAGACTAGAATACAGAAAAGAACTGCTTGCTGCCATGGTACTGTGTTCTCCACCTGTAGCGGCTTCCTTTTCCTTATTTGCAATGCTCTCCTTGTCTCTGTGACACTGCAAAAATCCGAGAGGTGATCAAACGCACCCATCGTCTCTTCCTCCTCCTTAGTCGCAGAGAGAAAGAGAGAGAGAGAGAGATGGGACAACAGCAATGTATTTATCTGAGAAGGTAGTGAGAATAATAGACTATATATAGGCCAATGCAAATGTTCCACTATAAGAACAAGGGTGTAAAGGTTTCATTGAAAGCTAGTGTGTGTATATGTAATAAATATACATTCTATAAGGTAACATATTGAAGCACTGTTAGTTTCACTATGATACTATGATTATATTAATCCCACATAAAATGTGAACTATCAATTATAAATTTGTTATATATCCCCAAATTATATTTTCTTGGCTTACATTATATACAAAATATATATATATGTGTGTGCATTAGATGCTAACAACAGATCATTTTACTGTGCACACAGCACTTCATCAATTCTAGATGTTAAGCAGAACAACATTGCTTCTGAAAACTAATTCCGAAGACTCATACCAACCTTATGAATAGATTAAGATTACATTCTGATAATTAAACGAATATTAGGTTGATCTAAACAATAAATCTAATCTTCCTATGTGTTTGCATTTACTCTTTTGGTTCTTTCTTTTTTGGCTTTCCATGCATTGTTTGTGGAGAATTAGTGTCTGGTGGCCATTGGCAGCTGTGGTTGCAAGTTAGTGAATGATTGCACCAAATGAAAGAGGCTTGAATTCCTACACCACAGCTATAAATAGGCTTGAATTCATACAACTGAAACAAGAGAAGGCCACACATTTTGCATGCACCTTGCAAGTTACTAGATTAGTCCCCCTCCTTTGCTCTTTATTCTTTTATTATTATCGATGATGTTGACATAATGCATTTTAATTTGGTTTAAACAAGGAAAAAAATAGATACCTATTTCAATAATTTATCATGTCCATATGGTATGATGGTATCTTTATATCGGGCGATACATCGACCTACATCATCCGGTACCAACTAAAAAATCGATATCCTGTTATATAATCTGATACCGTAATATAATAATCCAAATTTAAATTTATTATAGAGAATATATTGTTCATTATATAAAATGTAGTAGTGCATTAATATTATCATAAAATGTAGTAATTTAAATCCACATTCACAGGTCAAACTAGGATAAGCTCAACACAGTCTGGGATGAACACATTAACTTGGGATCCACAGGTTGATTGCCAAACCAGTTGCCAAACCAGAGCTATGAAGATTATGATTCCACAAGTAGGTTACTGTTGTGAAACTTTGGTGATTAGACCTACAATCTCCCATTATTTTTCTCCTTGTCCTTTCTTCTCTCTTCAATATTAAAATATTTTTTTATCTACCATCAAAGATATCTGAATTTTTTTATGGATATTTAAGTCATTTATCATAAAATATATTCATTATTATCTCAATAATATTATCATATGTTTTATATTTTTTATCATAATATTTAATTATATGTTAATTTTAGAAAACTTTATTAATCTTACAGTCCAACTGATTGATCCACTTGTTCCACCAATATCCAACTTAATCAAGTCGATGTTCAATCCATATCTCATAACCATATTCTTTATACATATATATAAAGTTAATTCTAAGTATGAAATTTCTACATCTACAAATTCACTGTATAATACACAACTATGTGAAAACAACATTAAGAACCTACCTAATATGATTAAAAGATGATGCTTCAATTATGCATGTAATTCTGCTACTAATATCAAAATTTTAACTCAAATGCCTCAAATATGCAAAAATGGATGATTGCTTGTACATCCTTCTCTCTGACTTATGAACAGCATGACTACAGCTCAGGCAACTGAACAAGTATTGATGAAGACTCAAATTGAATCAAGTAGCAGGCAGGGTACTTTTCACATCAAATGAGGCATTAAACTAACCCAATAATTGCACTTGCAGATGCCAGTTATAACTCTCTGTGTGGTCCTCTGGCTACTAATTAGGCTACAAAACCTGGTTGGCTGTCAGGCATTTGGCTGCTGCAGCTTCCACAACATCAGAAAACAGCTTTGAGAAGAAAGCTCACCCTGCACAAGAAGAAAGGTTCAGCTGGGTTGGTGACTCATGCAAGTTTCCTTGTGTTAATTGTCCCTTCAAAGGATGAGTTCAGAAGACACGAAAAGATCATTTGAATATGATTAGCAAGCAATTGATTTTTTGACATCCAGCTGCCCTTTAAGCATTAGGTAGTTGATGTGGACATCATGGATCACAGCTGCTGCATTGAACAGGAAATGCATATCCAGAGTAACATGTCAAAAACATGCACCACAGAAAAATGAAGTCAGACCAGATACAATGATTGTTTATGTGAATTCATTCACAAGCCCCTGATGGAAACATGTTACTAATATTAAGCCTACCTCTTGGAGAAGGATACCGTTGGCCTTCTCCACGGATCAAGTCATTCAACATAAAGGTCAGTACCAAAGAAGGAATGAGGTGTTCTGCTTTACCTCTCATTCCAGAACTCCTAATATATTCTTGCTAGATGAAAATGTTACAAGAATAACCTAAATGGGCGGCTTCCAGCTTTGTTTACATGCATTTCGAGAGTCATATTTCAAAGGTCAGAGATTAGCACCATAGAGAAATCTCACTGTCAAACATTGTTCAAAACTTTAATCACTTTTTTTTTACCAAGCTACATGCCATTTATTTCTCCACCAGGAACATAATCTTAGGCAAGAGTTTATTTTTCTTTTGTTTTGAATGAGAGCTAATTACATATTAACCTTTGTAGTTAGACATCTTTAACGTCCCGGTCCTTAGACTTAGAAAATTTACATTGAAATCTTTATAATTATAAAAGTGAAACATCTAACTCCATTTATCCTAACGCTATCGGTTTTACTAACAGAAGCACAAAAACAATGGGCAAAAAGATAATTTTAATGTCCCAATTACAATTCGATGGAGACGAACGACGATGTCGTTGGGGGTCGTGGGTGGCTGTTATGGATAAGGAGGGAGAGCGGTGGCGAAAGGTGAGGTAAAAGGAGAGGAGGAAGAGGACGACATAGGTGTCAACGTTCTGCATCTACGACGGCATCACTGTACATATACATCAGCACTGATGCAGATGTCAAGTGGCCCTTTCGTCGCTCTGCATCTGCATCAGCGCCACTTAGCATTTGTGTCGATGCTGACGCAGATACAGAGCGGCGGAAGGGCTACTTGGCATCTGCATCAATGCCACTTTGCATCTACGTCGGGGTCGATGCAGATGCTAAGTGGCCCTTTCACTGCTTTGCATCTGCATTAGCGCCGACGCAGTTGTCGAGCGACGCCGATATAGATCCAAAGTGTCGACATCTGCGTTGTCCTTTTCCTCCTCTCCCTTTGTCTCGCCTCTCGCCATCGCTCTCTCTCCTCATCTACAACGGTCACCCACAGCCCCAACGACGTCGTCGTCCACAACCATCGAAAACGTAATTGAGACGTTGAAATTATCTTTTTGCCCATCTTTTCATACTTCTGTCGAATAAAACCGATGGCGTTAGGATAAGTGGAGTTAGATGTTTCACTTTCATAACTATATAGATTCCAATGTAAATTTTTTAATCTAGAGATCGAAATACTAAAAAGGTCTAACTACATGAAGTAATCTATAATTAGCCCTTTGAATGCAGATCATAAGTAAGAGAAAACACAGACAAACTGATGCTTAGGTAAAATTTTCAAAATAGATGAGCCCTTATGCTAGAAAGTCACTTGGACATACCGAATAGATGAAAAAAATGATGGCCTCAAATTGTTATCTTACTAATATATATGTTCAAACTTTTGAAGTGCCGAAAAGATGTCAAGATCACACAACAAAAGACTTGTTTCTTTTTCTTCTACGGATATCAGCAACAAATTGGTACATTGGTGCATCTTAAAAAGAGAACTTAACACATCAAGTCCTCATGCAATCAAAAGCAGAACACAACCAGTGAAAAAGAACAGTATCTGAAACTCGAAGAGATGGAAGAGGCAGTAGTTCATGCAGAAGAAACTTTGTGCAGTTAAAAAGAATACAGAAGGAAAAAAGATAATTGATCATGTATGAAGCCAGCTCAATCCTTGCTACATCTCAATCAAGGATGTGCAAAAGAAAATTAAAAATTAACAATTAAAAAGTTAAGAGAGCTCAACACTGGACAAGGTCCCAGGACTCCTAGTCATGGGCTGTCAGGGAAGATCTGCCCACAATCTAGTTTTCAAGATTATTTGGACCAAACAAAAAATCCAGTTATCGAATTGAAAAAGAAAAACAATAGAGATAAAGGCATGGATATTCATGCAAAATTTTGGAAGAACCCCTAAGGTAGCTTCAGCTTCTGACCATGCGAGCCATTCCAATATTCACGAGCAATAATTGCCTTCTTTCAGGAAATGGTTCAGAAAGTTACGGATTCAAATGTGAAGTGTACAAGCACAGAGCACCTAAATCCAAGAATGTTCAGTGCATGAAACCAGTAATGACACCCAGTAAAAAATTATCACATTTCCACCTTGCTTCATATCAGAATAACTAGAAATAATGCACACCCAGTAAAAAAATTATCTCATTTCCACCATGCTTCATTTCAGAATAACTAGAAACCCCTTGGGTTAATGATTTAATCACAAGACCACTCAGGTGACCATTGATAACAACCACTTGAAATTTCACTTGAGTTAACCATTCAAATTCACCCTGTCATGAAATAGCAATCATTTCATGAGAAGTCCACCCGCAATCACTTGAAAAGTTCTAATTATCTCTAAAACACTTAACTAAATTGCTCAGCGAAAAAATAATAATAATAATAAAAGATGAAAGGAGAACAAGAACTTAGGATTGATTGAAGATTCTCTGCAAAGAGGAAAATCAATGTCGGTCGAATATTTTGTAGAAAAGGGTAGATTATATGCCAATCAAATTTAAAAGTGCATCTTCCCAAGAAAATAGGATGATTGATTAGTCTTGACTAAAGGGATATAACTCTTATCATTTATTTTTCTTATTTCTTTCTTCCTACACCCGAGGATTCTATAAAAAAGGTGAAAAAAAGGTAATCAGATATATTGTAGAACAAAATGAAAAGCTCGCTTTCCCTAAAATTTGTGTAAATAGTGTGAATCCATATTCTTCCACCAAGGTGAAATCAGAGGACATCTAGTTAATCTAAAATATTCTCTCTTATTCTACTCTCTTCCTACCATCCTATCTAAACTACTTGGTGCATAACCCTTAAAGCCCCAGAGGTCATAAAACATGTCAGTACTATCCCTATCTTTACACAATCAACCAATGCCCAACTATCTAGGATCTAGTGTCACCAGAACAACCTCAACAATCAACTGAGCTAATAGAAAAGAACATCAGTGTCTCTCTCTCCCAAGTATGGTATTTGTATAATTGCTCTACATGTGTTTTCCTTTGCTAAAATTACAATTTTGTAAATTGAGTGTTCTTTCATAAAATCCACTTGTTTGTTTCATTATTTTTCTTTGTATACGGGTCCAGTACACAAAATGGCATTCCTTGTTTGTATATACATATGCAACCTTGTACCCATTAAATATTCCATGGATGCTTTGGGATATTTTTATTTAAATCATTGTAGGCAAAGTTATGTGATGGTCCACAAAGGCACTAAAACGCTTCCTCTTAACCAAAAATGGAGACGATCCATAAAAGCTGCCTTAACTTGTATTCAGAGAAGAGAACAGCGAAAGGAGACTTTTAGTTTTACATCATAATTTTTCCAATGTGAAAATAGAAAAAAGAAAACTCTTAATCAGATTGATACAAGCCTTCTTTTAGAGTTTATTTGTCCTTCTTCAGTTCTTCTAACCAAGTCCTCTAAGAAAGTTCAATTCTGCATAATGTTTTCTGGTCGACAAAACTATTCAATAAGATACCAGTTCTGGCTTAACATAATCAAAGAATTGATCTTAATTCGTACATTGAATCTTTGAAACAGCCTCCACAAGTATCTTCTTCGAATAATATATTTCCTTCAACCTTATTCCTTAGTATTTAGTTGAAACCAAAATTTAGTGGTATGCTCCAAGAAAACATGTTGTGCATACTATATATATGCATGTTGCCCCTCTTACTTACATATACCTTATCCCACCGTTTCCCTAGTCCCTAACGGCATTTCCATCTGGTGACACTGTCATGAAAGCGTTCATAGCAGATTCAAGATGAATCCTACACCCATGGTTTGAACTGGGTATCAAGAAAACTATCTTACGTCGATACCTTTCGAAGTTTAGCAAAATTGCATTTTTTTCCTCATTGAACTAATCATCTGAAAATTCCGTTAGTTGCATATCTGCATTTCAAGCATCGTGAGAAAGAACAGAAGCCACAGATCTCTTATGCACTTATAATTCATTAAAATTCATGAAATTTTAAGGAAACTTCCAAAGAAACACAAAGATCTAAAAGAAACCCATACAAAACAGGATCCATCTTACTCGGGAAAAAGCACCGAGTTTTCACACTATCGAAACGATCGGCACAACATAACTGAGAGACGAATTCAATGCACAAATACCACGAAAAGAAACAACTAACACAACAATCGTGGACATCTATTAAATGCGACGCCCACCCGGAAACCAGAAGCGAATAATTCGAAAGCACCATCAAGAGATGTTCGCAAGAGCAGATTCCAAGGGTTTCAAACAACACAACTCAAACCGAAGGAGCAGCTAAACCGTGCGTCGCGCCATCGGTCCGGCTATGGAGCGGTCGGAGGCTCGCCGCCGTTGTTCGCGATCCCCGCCCCCGCGATACCTACTACGCTCACAACTCTTCGCGAAGCCAAAAACGACGCCGAGAGATGTTTTAACGGATTTCGGATTTCGGATCCGGATCTGGATCATTCAGATATTGGAATCCGCCTTCTTCATCAAAGAGGACTTACGTACTGCGGTCGCATCCATATGCGTTCGACATCGTCGAACAAAAGAAAGATGCTAAATCGAATGGGTCAAATCAACGAGAGGAGTAAATGGACGGTGGATTCGAGATATCCCATACTGATATGTATGTGCATCAAAGGATAGGGTTTCGATCGACCTCGTTACCCTCACGCATAGTTCTATACGGACTCTCGCTTAGGAGTTCGCTCCGCCCTCCCCTTCTCCGGCGCTGGGAACCCTAAATTGATCCGCCGGCGATCGGCCCCTCAAGTTTCCGGTGTTCAATCTGTTCTCCGTTCGACGCTTTAGGTGATTTGATGTTTTTCCCCTATTTTTTTTATTTTCTCAATTTTAGGGATGCTCGTAATCGCCAGGATGGTTGTCTCGTTGGATTATATTGTTAAAGAAGCTATCTTTTTCTTCTCCAGTACCTAAACTGTTAGGTCTGGATTCATAATCCTTACTTACCCAATTTTTGGTTCGTTTCTCTGATTGCTTGGAACTTGATCGAACTTTTCCCTGCATTTATTAGAATATGAGAATTTCAATTCGCCTATATTGTGTCTTGTATGGCCAACAAACAGATTATGCTAGACAGTAGTATCAGACCTGATTTTGCTTGGTCGTAAGACCCCCTTTTTATCTTTTTACGGTTTGCTGACACAAGTTTCTGAATTCTCGAACTCCCTAACCGAGGAGGATCAGTTATAGTTGGCTTCCATAAAACTGTGATATTGGTCTTTGATGTTTATCATTACATTGTCAAGTGTTTAGTTTCATCTGCTCAGTAATTAGCTTAGCTGTCAGGAGTACTGCATTATGTTACTCCTTGTGATTGTTTCTCAGAAGTTACTTTTTTCCCTCATATGTAGTCTTCTTGAAGTTTAGGATCCTTAGCCATTAACTTCTGCAAACAGCTTCAGTGGCTTAGTATTACCTCTTTTTGTGCTAGGAACTAACTAACAATTTCTTGGCTTCTTATTTATGTATGTATCACATTTTGATCTCGACAAAGAATAAAATTAGTTATTAGATTTTCTGCTGGAAGATTTGATCTTGCTTTTTGTTAATACCCTAGTGAATCCCCTAAGTCTCTGAACCTTTTTAAGGTGACAATGGTCATGACAGGTCTATAAGTGGTTTTAATTTATCTTGGCATTTGTCGGGTATTCTCAGCAATGAATATTTATCAAGCTCTTTATTTTGTAAGCGACAGTCATGCATATTTTGGTTAGTTGATTGTTCTACTCATGGGTTGCCTATATCGAGTGATCACTTGCTACAATATCTGGTTTTGTAATCAAGAGAGTTGCTTATACATGTATGTTGCATATATTGGTAGTAATTACACAGCTGGGATTTTATCGGGACATGTTCAGTGAATTTGGTTAGGTGACTAATAGTTTTGTGTGAAACACTTTGACAGGTTCAACACTAATGGTTAATTTTCTAGGATTTTGGTTTTGGGCTTGGTAAACAACTAACAAAAACTATAAATTAGAAAAAAAAAAAAAAAAGCAGATCACAAATGGCAAAAGCAAGAAAACTAGAAAGTGTACACTGAAAACTAACATATCACAACTAGTTAGGATCTCAAGAATTAGTATTACAAGGGTCTTCTGAAAGGATTTTATAGCGACCTGCCAACATGATCATTGTGCAGCATGTTTGCTTGCAATATTGACATAAGTTGCATGGAACATTTCCTTTAATATGTGCAAAATTGATGCTATCATGTGTAGCATATATTAAAGGATCTGTCACACGTGAACTCCTTTAACTTACCCCATGACTGAGGTAACACTATATCCAGACACTTATAGCTTTATCATTTAGAAAAGTAATGAAATGTATGTATCTCCAAGAGCTCATCTCACTTTCATGAACACAAAAGATTCGACAAAGCAAACACAGGAAAGAATGTTTTAGGAGGAAAATCAAAATTTGATACTTCAAACCTCTCTCTCTCTCTCTCTCTTCACTAAAACAGAACATCAAGAACGTAAAGTGAGCTGAGTAAAATTTATGAATTTCTTTGATCTTGGGGAGAAAATTTAATCAGGAAGGAAATAACTTCCAAGATACGTGAGACACTATGGGGAGTGAGGCAGCTTTTTGGCTAGCTCAATGGTGCACTTAATTCTTTATAGATTGGTTTCTCTATGAACTAGACAAAATCTGTTGGTTTTAGAAGAAATGACCAAAACTGTGTTATTGATCAAAATTCCTACAAATTGCATAGAAACTCTTGATATTGTATTCATGTCAACCTGCACTGAAAACGGATTTTAGTTGCTTCAACTTTCATTTTACAAATGAAACTGCAATCCATGTTTTGGATTATTCTAGAAAAGGAGTGAACAAACAAATTTGTTAATATTTTAAGCAACTTTGGCCATGCATACATAAAGTTACATCTGTCCTAAAATCAGAGGAAGGAGAAAGATTGTGACAAATAGCTAACAGCTGGCATAAAGCTTTGCTACAACAATGATAAAAGAGATCTCTGTGAAATAAACATTGTGATTGAGTCATTTCTGGGATGCAGTACATCATCACATGTACAGCACCTGAATTCTTCAAAGAGAATAATGGAGTGGGCTTAGATGCCCCTGAAAGTGACAATTTGTATTGGCATTGACACAGTCATAAATGAGCAAGCGTTCTAGCCTTATTTTGGAGAAATGAGATTAAAGAATTTTGTCCAACAACATAAGTTTAGACTAAGGAATTTAAATGTAGGAGTTCCCCTCGAAGTATTGTAGTTAATAGCATTATAATGGAAGGATACCTTTTCGTCCTTTGCTTAAAGAAAATAATGCTGGTAGATGCATATTCTAGATGTATGGAAGGATATTTTATGTACTTTGCCTAAAAGATATAATATCGGCAGGTGCATGTTTCTATATCTATGGAAATTGACAGATGTGATCTCTTTTATAAAAAGATATCAGAATGAGCCACCATTGTTGTAATAAGGGCTAAGAAAATATGTAGAGGTTAAGAGAATCTGTACTGGAATAGCTTCTGATATTTGTTCTTGGAAAAATATATTTATTGTTGTAAGTGCTTATACTTCTCAAATAGGATTATCTTTTATCAACTGGAAATTCTGTAGAGGTTTGGATGAGATAATCAAACCAACCAATGAAAGTCTTTCAACAGAAGCAGATTTAAGTGGCAATATGGATTCTAGAGAATATGAGAGGGTACATGGTACATATACAGAGAACAAAATACAGATGTAATTTTAGATTTTTGTCATATTCAATGCATGAAATGAAATAAATGTCTAAATCAAGGATTTAAATTTTGGTCGGGTACTAGTTTTGGTACTTCATCGTACTGGTACATTACCGGTATATTGTTGTACACCAACTTGTAGTGTCTGGTGTCACAAAAAGGAATAATAAGATGATGATATTAACCAGTACCGGAATGTATGGTCCAGTACCAGTCCTCGGGCTGGGAATGATATTTATTTGATTCCATGGTCCAAATACATACAGGAGCAAAACAAGTTGTCAACACAAAAATATTTTCTCATTTGGAGAGTATATAGAGTTTAATGCAAAAGTTTGTCATTTCAGCCAGAAAATGCTTCACTGCATATATTAATTGTTTTGTTATATAAGAAAGTGAAATTAAAAAATAAATTTTAATCATATAAATGAATAGGGAATTCAATAAATTAAATATTTAATTTAATTTAGAAATAGAATGGCAATGGAAGGAATGTGGAATTTGGGTGAAAGTTACCAATTGCAATGGAAGTATTACAGTAAAAGGAAATAAATCTCTTGGAATCTAGTGATTGCGGTGTATCTTCAAGGAAGTAGAGTTAAATTTGCTGTGTTTCATAGAAATACAAGAATGGCGAGAAGTTTCAGACTTTCAGTAGTATCCTAAGATGGGGAGAAAGAGATGCATAAAGTTACTAAAAAGGTTTAAAAAAAAAGGACTTGGAGTCGGGAAACATGGAGTTGCCATGTTTAGAAAAATTCTTGAAAATCTTGTGACTAATCAGGATTTGGAGTTATAATGTCATGAAAGAAAATTGTAGGTTTATGAAAAATATGGTAAACAATGAAAAAGTACCTCAATATAGACTTGAATAGGTAAAGGTGTAGAAGATGATGTCCTCTTTTTGAAATGTCGAACAGCTTAGGAGATTAAGTTTATTTGACAAGTTCAGAAACAAGAAAAAAGATGCATGATGAGTGGATGAAAACTATTTTGATAATGAACTGCAATGGTGTGACTTTGGGATGAGTGCTTATGCAAAGAAAACGCTATAAAATATATACTTAGAAAGTTAATTAGCTCTGAACCAAGAAGGTTTGGTAGGGTGATTTCTCTACTAACTAAGATGAAAAGCATGAAGAAAAGGCAAAATACTTGCATATTATTCCTGGTAAGGAACTTAATACTGAGACAGTGATGTGATAAAAAAATGCATATAATGGAGCAATTACTAGTACAAGAACAATAAGTTCCCTATCACTCCCAGATTACACATAGGGTCAATCTTGAATCTTGACCTGTTTGCACTGGCATATTCAAGTCGACATCACAGGGAACATATCGTTTGCTAATATTGCTTCAATTGTATCAGTTGGATAAACTCTAAATTGGAGTTATGGAGAGATAGCATTGGAAGCTAGGGGTGTTGCGAGTATAACTAAATAGAACATACAAAGTGCAAATTGAAAAGAAAAGGATAAAGGTATAGCTGAAGTAACGGTCACAAAAGTTCAATAATTATAAACCCTTGAGAAAGATAATAGTAACAGGCCTAAATTTGGATGATTTAACCAAAGAGGTTTTTGAAGCATTATGTGAACGTGGAGTACTATCTACACTAGAAGGACAAAAATTGTGAGAAACTTATAAGGCTTTTTGAGCTATGTAGGTTGAGTATCTGATTATTACAAGGAATCTAAAAATTTAATATAGAAGTGATCTTGATATTTAGATGGATATATATTTTCCTTTTTCTTTCTCATAGATAGATCTATGTTGTTGCCAATGATAGTAGCATAAGTAGTGATCACATTCATGAATATTTATTTGTTTAGTGACAAGTAGTTACATATATGATTCTTGTATCATGCTGAGCTTACGGGTTAACATTGATGTTACACATTATGAGACATTCTTGAAGTGCTTCAAATATTTACCATCAAGTGTCAGGCACATTATGTAATCTCAAGTTCTGAATGATATATGGTACTAGCTTACTCATCAAAACATTGATTATCTCTTATCCTTTTAGTGGTTTAACTATGACATTTCTTTTACACCAATTCGCTGTTTTCCTTCCAGAAATGGAATTATCTAATTCTTCTTCGAATAGTGAATCTGTTGAAACAATTGAAGCTTCTTTTAGTGAGAAAGACAAAGACAATGCAGGGGTAGATTCAATCACAGAGGGGCCTGCTTCTATCGAGGATGTGGGAAAGGAATCTCAACCTTCAAAAGATGGCCAGGTCGGTCCTAGCACAAGATATACCGGTATTGGGGACAAAGCACTTGTTCAGAAGACAACTATAAATTCACAAATGGAGCCAGAGGTTGGTATGGTGTTTCATTCCGAAGACCAAGCTTATATGTTTTACAACAATTATGCTCAAAGAAAAGGTTTTAGTGTCCGAAAGGGTCACCTTGGTCGAAGAAAAGATGGGACTGTACGGAACAGAGTCTTCTTGTGTAGCAATGAAGGTGCTCGTCAGAGGCATTCTACACATGTGACGAAAAAACCACGTGATGTTGTGAGAACCAATTGTATGGCCCGCATTGAATATAAGGTGAGTCGTGATGGTATATGGGTTGTAAGTAAAATCATTTATGAGCACAATCATCCACTTGTACGACCACACAAAGCACACTTGTTAAGGTCTCATAGGAGGATAGTGCAATCACAACATGATGGAGTAAGTGATGCTGTGGAAAAGCCAGCACAACCTCTTGAATTTCCTGCAGAAGACGCTCATGATGCTGAATCCATTGGGTTTCTCTTGAAGGATCAAAGTAGCTATCTTCACACTAACAGGATGAGAGAACTTGAGAAGGGAGATGCTCAAGTTCTTTTAGAATTCTTGAAAGCTAAGCAGCTAGAGGATCCCTCATTTTTCTACGCTATACAGCTTGATGATAGGGAGCAAGTGACCAACTTCTTTTGGGCAGATTCTCGATCGATAATTGATTACACCTATTTTGGTGATGTGGTCTTATTTGATACAACTTATCGTCCAAACAAGAGTGAGGTACCATTTGCACCATTCATTGGTATCAATCATCATAGGCAAATTGTTTTATTTGGTGCTGCAATTTTGTTAGATGAGACCACAGAATCATTTGTTTGGTTATTTAGAACCTTCATGGTTGCAATGTCAGGACTACAACCACAAACTATTTTGACAGACAATTGTCCAGCATTATCAAGGGCAATTAGTATGACGTTACCTGAGACATGTCATCGTTTTTGCTTATGGCATATAATTCAGACCTCTACTGTACATATTTCTCATGTTTATAGTAATGACACCAACTTTCAGAAGGATTTTAAAGACTGCATACATGAAGAGGGTTCTGAAGAGGAGTTCTGCTCCAAATGGATTAGGTTGATTCACAAATATGATCTAGCTGGTAACTCCTGGTTAGAAGATGTGTATGCAGCTCGAGAAAGATGGGCATTGGTTTATAATAAGAACTCATTTTCTGCTTTCATGACAACAATGCAGTGGAGTGAGAGCATGAAGAATCACTTCAAGAAGCACTTCAATAGGAAGTTGCCTCTTTCAAAATTTTTAGAGCAGTATCACAAGTCATTGAACCGATTTCGTGAGAAGGAACTATATGAGGATTATAAATCAAGACAAACCAAACCAGTTTTGCTGGTTGACATGCCTATGCTAAATGAAGCAGCAGAATCGTATACGAGGCTCATGTACAATGAATTTGAAGATGAGTTTAAGAGCCAACTTTCTTGTCTTTGCGAACCAATAGGAATAGATGGCACAGTGTACACCTTCAAAGTTGCCCTTCCTGGAAAGCACTCTTTTGGGATCGTTGAACTTAAACCATCAAATTTAACAGTGTCATGCAGCTGTAGAAAGTTTGAGAGTATGGGCATCTTATGCATGCATGCACTAAAGGTCCTTAACAATAACAACATCCTTCACTTGCCTTCCCAGTATATACTGAAAAGGTGGAGCAAATATGCAAATGTCGAGATTGTATCTGGGAAACATCATTTGATAGCTAAAAGTGATGGCCAAGATCTTCTGACGCAGCAGTATTCCCGGGTTTGCCATAAGGCAATTACTATTGCTGTAAAAAGTGCATTTTCTGAAGATGCTCTACAGATTTTTGACCAAGAACTTGATAAGTTGATAGCTGAAGTTGAACATGTTCTGCACATGGCTCCATTGAGTAGACAAACCGAGGATGATGTGATACTCATTGACAATATTCAACAGGACGAACTAGGAAGTAAGAGAAAAAGGAGCAAGAAAGCTCGTGCAAGGGACGGACAAGATTCGAAACAGAAGAAGAAGCTTCAATCCCGTAATGATGCAGTTAACACAGGAACCATCTACCAGAAAATACAGACTAAAGAAAAAGCAAGTATGTAATCAGTATTTTAACTTGTGTCACTTGACATATCCTATTTACACTTCATTTTGTTGAATAGGGCAAACTAATGATGCATCAGATCGGTTGATGATTAATGAGCCCTCGCATGTTGCATCATTTCATCGGGAGAGCACCACATCCTATGGCAATTCAATGTCACTGCAGCCTTCTGGTTGCTCACCTTTTCCTCAGGACACTATCATGCCTACTCAGGTTTGTCCTAATTTTCTTTCTTGATTGAGTTGGTGATCTTCCTGAGTCATGTTTTGAGCTTTCTAGTGACCCTGTACTGTGTCTGTTGTCCCTGATGCAATATAGGAACCATTTACACCTTCTCAAGGTTTATTTGATCATGCAATTGCATCTCAAGGAGCAAACAGCGGTAATATAACATGGTGCACCCCGAGAGGCTCAATTGGTGTCCCCATGCCAGTTTTGCAAGGGCAAGCCAACAACTATGTAAGTTGGGTGGTTCAACCTTGCAACGTTCCCAGTATGGCTATGCCACAACTTCATCTCGACCATCCAATGGTATAAGAATGATGTTAATTCAGATATATGCTTCTGTTATTTAATTGCTTGGGTAAGAGCTGACAGTTACTGATCATCTACGCTCATCACAGCATTCTACTGTTCCTGGCCAGCATCAGTCATTGTCTCGCAAGCTCACATTCGACATTAACAAAGGTACAGATACAACAGGGCACATGCAACACTGATAGTGTCCCTTGACGTTGAATCTTGAACTGACTAACAAAAGGCCACCATCAGGTAATTGATTCAGAGCGAGCGTACTGCACATTTCAACTGATTGATCGACACCTCATGTGGCTCATGACAGCGCATGACGACCACGATATGTGGGAATGCTGCAGCCCTAATCTTTGTAACTTTGTTGTATAGCATCTTCAAGTCTCATTATCTTTTTCCCCTTTTTTTGTGGCCGTTTTTACCACCACCAAGATCCTGGTTTGTAACATCAATGCCTCGATCATGTCGGTTACCGGATCGAATGTTGTTTTAGTTTTTTTAATCTGAAGCTGATCGAAGTCATCTGTTATATATTAGTATAAATACCTTACAGATGATGTACTGGTGATTGGTATTTAGGGTTTACTGTATTGGTAGTTTGTAAATCAGTTCTGGTTATTTTATTTGTACAAGCTCACAAGCAACAGATGATGTAGGTTATTTTATTTGTACAAGCTCGTGTGTGTGTGTGTGTGTTAAAGAGATATATAGATGTTGAAGTCAAAAGAGATGAGAGATTAGTATTAGTGGCCCAAGGAGATGTAGAAAGAGACTTGAGAAGAGGTGGTGAAGGTGGCGATGGTATGTAGTAGTAGATATTCTTATTGTGAAGGTGTTCATATTCCATCCTCCCCTATATGATATGAACTACACCATCCAAGTCACATCGCATGTGCCCCAGCATAATTCATAATTCATATGCACAGGTCAATAACTTTGACATAACCATTTGCACCAAATGCTAATCGAAGAAGAAGCTAACCATGATGGTGTTGGAGGAGTAGCTAACAGATTTCTTTTTAATGATAAAAAGATTAAATTAATGATAGAAAAATAAATAGATGGTAATTAAATATAAGAGAAATTTTTTTGGATAATTATCAAACTTGTTTTGGCTTGGCTTAATAAGTGTTCATACCTCTGTCTACATGATATGATCATTTATTTTATCAGGTGAAAATAACCCATGCGTATCCCACGTGGATGATGATATTATTTCATCCAAAAAAATAATTTGATCTCACACTACTCACACACAAGATGAAAAAAAATTCACTTTGTTGATTCGTTCCTAATTGATATATTATAATATTTTAACTATTTTTATAGACTTAATATAAAAAATAATAATAATAATCATATCAAATCTACAATATGTTCCCATTAAGAACGTAATATTCTCACTTAATTGAAAAAAATATATCATATTCTTGATTTGACTTTAATTCAAAAAAAATCATGTTCTTGATTAATAAACTTTCATAATCTTTAACTAAGATTTTTCATCTTCAAGAATAAATCTGATTTCTTCCTATTTTTTCTGTATTTATTTTGTTATATTTATTTATTAATTTAAATATTATCATGCGACAACATATACAAATATATCTTTAAATTAATAAAATAAATTCATTAAAATAATATATAAATTAAATTACTCCAGTGCCAACATGTTTCACAGGGTTCCAAATTCAATGAATCATGCATGCATGCATACATTCGTGCGTCAAATAAATCACTACTAGCAAATAAAAATACAATGCAGTAACATCTATGGAGCAATACATTGAGATGGATCTCAAATTTATGAGGAACTAATGCAACGATCAACAATCACCACCACATCTATGCTTTATGCTATTTACCAATTTATTGTACAAGATTAAAGATCATGAACTCTTGCACGATATTAATATTTCTTTTATGCTAGAAGTAATATCGTGAGGTCTTTATCTAGGAACAAAAGATAACCCACCGTCCAATCCCTAAACAGAAAGAGACATTACAGAAGAAACAGGAAACAAAAATTCATAACAAAGTACAGGGAACCACTTCGTTTATCATAATTCATCACATTAGTCGTTGACAGTATAGTTTTGGAAACTAAAAAAGGTCCTGATTCAGCTTCTGCGAAATGCAACAGAGCAAACACGAGATCCTTCCACACCACCAAACATGATGGTCGGGTACGTCCTGACATGATCGATGTATTGTAAAACTGCTGGCGTGCTGCCTGATTCTGAGTCCAACTCTTGTATGCTAGCCTTTTTCTGGTTTAAGTTTTCCACCTCTTGCAACAACTCATCCTTTGTGTTATTACATGAGGTGATGACCTGGATACATTAGTCAATTTCACCGTGAACTTAGTGAAGCCAACCATAGCCCGATCTTTGTTCAGGCTCACTATCTAAGCTACTTCAAGATAAGAAAGAGAGAAACAAGTGACTAAAAAAGGGTTTAGCACTAACCAGTAACCCGCCAGGTGCAACCAAGTTTGATACTGACTCCCAATACATTATCCTGACAGTAAAAAAATAAATCAAAGTTATGTCGGCACTAGTAGCTTCACGTTCACCAGTCTAATCATTTCTAACTTGAATGATAACGAACAGACAATAAAGATGCTGTTGGAATAGTCATTAAAACAGCACTAACTAATGTCAGAGTTAGAAATGTTCAAAATTCATTAAAACAATCAATACTGTTGGAATAGTCATCAAACACTAAGAATCCATCCATCTAGTTCTTTATCGAGACTGATTGAAAGCATAAAAATGAGATCGTATGGATTAAACTGAATCAGTCGATGAAAAGAAAACAAAGCTAAAATTCAATGATCTTACCTTTTAAGTGGGCCATCTGGATGCAAGCCTATGGCATCCAAAGTCCCTTTGTCCATTACAAGTTGAAACTTTCTGTCCAATTTCGTCTCCAGAACATCATCGACCTACAAGCACACCACCACAATTCCAAAACGTGCCTTAGAGAATTGCTACCTGATGTTAATAAAGAAGACTATGATCATCAACAAGCTTATCATTGCCTCAACAGATATTTAGACAAAAAGATTGCTATAAGCATAGATTACCAGAGATGCAAGCCATAACCATATGAATCTGATTGAGCTGGCATATTAGAGTTTTTCAACAATTTGAAATAAGGTTACTTTAAGCAATAAAACAAAATAGAAAACCAGGTCACTTGTAATTGTACATGCTAAAAAATGGCCAATGCGACGTCCATTATTCAAGTTGAAAAAAGATAGTTGTGGCTTTAATTAAGAGAAATTTACTCAATTAAAATTTTTAATACAAAACTGAGATGTTGTACATCTCCGATGCGACTGTACATGACTGGTTCAAACAAAGCTACCCTTTTTGGAGTGCCTGATGTAATACATCTTAAATTGGTATGGAACCCATATGAAGCCATGCTGCTTTAAGAAAAGTATACATTTGGCATAACTCCATAATAAATAATAACATGAAGAGCAAACTTAATGACAATTTTATACATGCATCTGGTGGTTTACCACAAACCCTAAATACAAAATTTGACTAATGCTTAAGATAATTCAAAATTATCCTTGTCACCACACATCAAGGATCTAAATTAAATCAGACTTGGTTTACCACATAGGGCGGCCTGTTGATGCCCCTCTATGTTCAGGTGCATTTGCATATGGAGACCCATTCAGCTTTATACCAGAGAGGAAAAAAATAATAGTCAATTGTATGTACAGATTGGTCTCAGTTGACATATTACAATATTGGTTACGATGTTTCACAAATAGCACCTACCACAGATCCTAAAACCATATTTGTTGGAGATGTTGCTATTGGTATGTTCAAAATGTAGAATTAATCCAAGCTTCAAAACTATAAGCAGCTGGGACTTCATTTATGAACCCATGAGCTTCTGATCAAAGTTCGAAGCAGATAGATGTAGCTCCCTTCAAACATAGACCTCCGAAATAAACTCAAATCAACTTCTGGGAAGAAACGGAGGCTTCCAAGAAATCTGGAAGGCCAAGGTCCGGAAAATGTAAAACCTTTATTGGCCACAGGTTATGTACCTGCCACAATTAACCGGTATCCAAGTTTCCAGTAGGTCTCAAAAATAACCTAGATGGAAACGAGCATACTTTAAATGAATGAATTATGTTTACCTGTTATGCAAGAATTATAGAAAACACTACAACTAGGATGGTTATTTTGTTTCGATGTATACATATATTCAGCTATGCAGTAGAACAGGTATAAGGTTGGTTTTCAGGCAAAATAACCTCAAATAAATAAAATAAAAAAATTCCCTGTGAATATATATAATAGAAAGAAGGTCATCAGATTAAACAGAAAGAACATATAAACATCAAAAAACTAAAAGTTTAAACATACAATCTTAGTTAGAGATTATAAAACTGAGATAGAAAGCTCTAGAAACAAAAAATGTACACCTTTTGACTTATCAAAGCTGGTAAATTACAAAATAGAGACAAAATGCTGCAACATGTCTCCACCATGAACTTACGTAAATTTAAACAACAAAGAAGCAAACTATTATATCAAGTACCATTAGTTATGATCATACCAAAGTATGCAAAGGATATTTTCACTATATCGCATACCAAGAAGTTTATATTTGGATAACCATTTCGGGTAGCAAGGTTCTGTGCAAGGACAATTGCTCCTTCACTGTAATCTGTTCCGGTTAAATTAGAGAACCTGGAAATGCAACAGATAATATTAACAATAGATGGGCTCAAATAATAGTCACAAGATCTGATTTGTTGCTAACATGAACAGATGGATGGCACAAATTTCCAAAGCCTATTAACAAAATATACTAATCAAGTAAACCATTCCCCAGGCAGAAAAAGGCAGGCAATTTATATACATCATAACTGAACAAATGATTGATATCCATTACTTGTTAACTATTATCAATAACTACTGATAAGTATGATATACAGGTTGCTAACAAAGAAACCCAATCTCAGGTTGAAAAACACGAATAGAATCTCCCATGCAGGCCAAACAGTCACATTAACAACATGTGCATCATCCTCTTGAAATAAATCAATGCCTAGTAACTATAAGAGATGTGTGCTTCATCAAATTGTTCTCCATCCAACAAGTGCCGTTTTAGTTTTTAAGTTATCAAATAAACATATACACCATGTCACAAGAAGTATGCTAAAGAATTTCAATCCTCAGTTCTGTTTTTCATCTAACCTTATGGCATAAGATATTCAATTATTTCATCTAAATTTTCAATCCTCAAATGATTCAGCTAATGGTTATAGTAACAGAGGATTACCAGTTCCAGCCTATGCTGAGTTCCAGCAATCCAATGAAGTCACGTGGTAGACCAGTCAGTATGAACTGAAATTTAGGTGTACCAAAACAGGCAGCAGCTCAGGAGGAAGAAAGAAATAGGTGGGCTTCCCTTTTGTTTCCTAAGGTTTAGAGTTGTTCTGGTTTGAGGATGGAGCATTACAAATTCCACTAGGGGTGCCTGAATGACAAGAAATAGACAGCAAACGTAAGGCTTGCATGAATTTTGACAAGAGAATGTGACAAACCTCTTAAATATTGGTTCTTCATTTTTAGCCTTATAATGT